ACAAAAAAGCACCTAATTTCTAAATGGTTAAATCAGAACAAGTGCAATTTGCTGTTCTAATAGACTACGGACAACTACAGAGAAACACAAATGAGAACTTTTTTTTTTTTTTTTTTTTCGTCTTTTTGAGACAGGGTTACCCTGCAGCCCCGGCTGGTCTAAAACACACTATGTAGACCAGGCTGGCCTAGAACTCAGAGATCCACCTGCCTCTGCCTCCTGAGTGCTAGAACTAAAGATGTGCACCACCATGCCTCCACGAGAAGTAAACTTTTTATATATAAAAGTCAATCACATAGAAAATATTCTCAGATTAAATGAAGAACAAAATAATCTCAACTCTTATTCCAATGTCAACAGTTGGCCCCTAGATAACTTCTGGCTTTACTAAGTGTTCATATCTACAGAAAACCATCAAAACTTTTCTTGTTTCTTGTTTTTGATCTGTAGCCCTAGCTGGCCTGGAACTTACTATGCAGATCAGGCTGGCCTTGAATTTGCCGGAATCACCCTGCCTCTGTTTCGCAACTGCTATGGTTTACAGGCATGTGCCACTACACCTAGCTTGAACCAGCAAACTCTTAAATTATACTCTTGCCAGGCGTGGTAGAGCTCACCTTTAATCCTAGCACTTGGGAGGCAGAAGCAGGTGGATCTCTGTAGGTTCAAGGTCAACCTGGTCTACATAGCAAGTTCCAGGCCAGCTAAAGGGAGACTCTGCCTTATAAAAAAAAAAATTTTTTTTAAGACCAAAAATAAATAAATGAATAAATAAATTATACTCTTACAGCCACATAGTATGGACATTACACTACACAGTGAGTCTGAGGCAACCTGGGCAACTAGGCTACAGAGCAACACCTAGACTCAAAAAATGTTAAAAAGAAAAGAGCTTCATCAAGTCTGGTATCCTATTATTTTTTTCTTATTGGAAAATGGCATTATAACATGAGACAAATGTCATATAGATGCTTTGATACACAGATATACTTTTTTTCTTTGAGACAAAGTTGGCTGGACCTTACAGAGATTAAAGGTGGGTGCCACTATGGCTCCCCAAGAATATTTGAATAGTAACAAAATATGGCTTCCAAACTATAAATAACAACGCCTCAGGGCTGGAAAGATGGCTCAGCGGTTAAGAACACTGACTCTTCTTGGAGAAGACTGGGATTTGATTCCCAGCACCCACATGGCAGCTAACAACTGTCTGTAACTCCAGTTCCAGGGGATCTGACAGCCTCTTCTATCCTCTGCGGGCATTGCACGACATGGGTTCACTTACCTACATGCAGGCAATACACATATACACATAAAATAAAAATAATAAAATTTAAAAAAAAAAAGAAGATACAAGACCCAATCTATGGGTTATAGGAATAGAGGAACAAGAAGACTCCCAAGATAATGGTA